CTCTAATGTCAGCAAGAAAAAACAAACTGTAAATTCACGATACATCGAAATATGTGTAATTTATATAATAACTTATCCATGCCTGCACAATTGGTATGTTCCTGCATAAACAGGAATAAATATATATTATTAATATTAAATTAATGAAATGTTTAATGCACTCCTAATTTGTACTTCTCCTAGACTTCTTCAATACGTCGCTATACTATATGCATTTGTAATATGTGAACTCGGATTAATGCATGTTAATCCTAGTTACAGGGATGAAGATTTACTATAGTTACAGGATTTCATCATGAGCTGACATCAGTTAGAGAACCACTGGAAAACCTGGGAGTACTGGACAGCTGTTTCGTCCTAGTTTGGGACTCTTCGGCAGTACGCACCCACCGGGATGGTTCTCTAACTAACGTCAGCTTGTTGCTGCGATATTTTGATTGAACTAGCGTATACACATATCCTAATACTTCCTCGCGTTTACAATTGTGCCCTAACGTTGCGATTACTCGACATCCACAACGTAATTCAAAAGGCACTTGCGAAGGAATACGACAGTGTATTATTGCAGCAATCAAAATTCAAAAATCGAGCGAGTACAGAAGTATCAATTGTTAACATGCAAGATTTAGAGTAATAAATAAATCGAAGTACAATTACACAATGAAAGTATACTGCGATGATGAGTAATAAAACGGGTCACTACAATAGCCCCTCCGTAGAATGCAGGTAAATGAAGTTTACCTGTATTCGGAATGATATTGTAAATTATAATTACAGAAGAAATATATACTAGTTTCTGGTATGAAAACCGAATTGAGGATTTTAAGTTTTTGATGTTTGATAATATAACTGTATATATGCAAAAATGTTAACAGCTTCGAAACGAACCAAAATGTTTAGAAAGTTGTGCAAAATGTAACAATAAAACCAGAAAAATTATTATTAGAATAATAATGGGGTTGTTATTATAAGGAGTTACAGAATAGATTTATATCTTAACATACAGTTAATAGTATAGTAATAAGGAAGTATGGGAATGACCTGGGTAAACATTCAGTTACCTCTATTTCCATGAAAGCTGGTTGTACAAGTGGAATTGTACAAGAAGAGATGGCTGTGCCAGAGAAGAGTGCAGCAGTAGCTGCTGCTGCTGATAGGGTTGAAAGTGAACGTCCGTCAGCATGTTGTTGTTGTTGCTGGCTGTTGTTACTCGGCGTTGAGGAGTAACTTGAATTGATGTTTGCTGAGGTTGGAGAGTAGAAGTTGGTTGATTGATAGCCATTCCCACAGAAGCAGTCGGCATACTGTGGTAAACCAGTGGTTTGAATCAGCTGACCGTTAGGAACAACAGCCATGACTTTTAATGGAGCTCCTGGTGCCAGAGTGATAAACTGGGGAGTAGCATAGGAGCGTGCAGCTACAGTACCAGGTTGACCACTGACAGGGACGTCAGTTGCCATCATTGTTGGTTGTTGCTGATGTTGTTGGATATAAGTTGGCTGTTGAGCTGGTTGTAACTGATGAGCTTGTGCTTGAATCTGTTGTTGTTGCGGTGATTGGGTAAACTGTTGTAATTGAACAGCTGTAGGACCAGTTTGAGTAAATGGAGTTGCAGACCATTGTAAGAGTGTTTGCACACCTGTAGACGATGCTTAAGCTTGAGGACAGATAACTGGAATTGAGTTGTTGCATGACAGCCAGCTGCTTGAGTATCAGGGTGAACTGGGATAGCAGTCGCTGTGCCGCCAGGTCCGGAGGTACTTTTAGCAGAAATATCAGTAATTATACATCCAAATGTTATGAAGTTATCAAAGTTAATGCGATGGCAAAGATGATTTATTCCACTGTGTATACTTCGAAATGATGTAGTCCATCAATCAGCTATGTCGGGCTCACCAATTTGTTGCTGCTATATTTTGACTGAACTAGAGTACACGTATCTTCTAGTATTTCTTCGCGTTTACCATTGTGCCCTAACGTTGCGATTACTCGACATCCACAACGCAATTCAAAAGGCACTTGCGAAGGAATACGACAGTGTATTATTGCAGCAATCAAGATTCAAAAATCCAGAGGGTACAAAAGGTATCAATTTTTAACATGCAAGATTTCGAGTAATAAATAAATTGAAGTACAATTACACAATGAAAGTATACTGCGATGATGAGTAATAAAACGGGTCACTACAAGCTCATGATGAAATCCTGTAACCAATCAAATCCTTACAAACCAACACTGGAAAATCAATGAGATGCTCACTAGCGACTTGCCCTATTCAGGTGGGTAGTCACCTGGGGTTCTAGTGAGAAGTCGTGACCAGTAGGGTGCAGCAGGTCGGGCGTGAGGACAAATACTCGCCGAAGACATTGGCTAGGGGTCGCGCTATGGCGTGATTTGGCAGAAGTTAGAATTCATGGACCATTGGATCGGGTCCCAGTGGCTTAATGGTATATGAGCTCGCCTTGTAACCAGAAGGTCCTGGGTTCGAATCCCGGTGGGTGCGTACTGCTGAAGAGTCCCAAACTAGGACGAAACAGTTGTCCACTACTCCCAGGTTTTCCAATGGTTCTCTACCTGATGTCAGCTCATGATGAAATCCTGTAACCAATCAAATCCCTACAAACCAACACTTGAAAATTTACTATAGTATTATGAGACTGTTACTTTAGTCATTCATAGGATTTTGCATCTGTTTCTATGTAATAGCACATTGTAAAAACTAGGTAGGATTTAGCAAGTTGAATAATAATTCTGTATTGTGGATATGCTAAAGTCGCCTTACCTAGCCAGTTGCAAGTCTGTATACTGCTAATCGCTAAGTTTGTACTACAAGTAAATGTAGTAAATTAAGGTTGATAGCTACTTCATTAATCTGTCAATATGCATTGACATCATCAGATAGACTGTTTACTTGGCGATGAGATTAGAAACAGTTTCTATTTCTTTCGAATATGCCGCTGAATCATGCGATATCATCTAACATCCATCATTTTATGTTCAACAAGTGCAGTATTTGTACATCTACTCTACGGATATTGATTAACTTAACCCTTTATGCAACTTATTACAACCAGTATTACAACAGTATTCCCAATTCATTTGATGTGCGTACACTGAATAAGTCATCCATACATTCTACCACAAATGCCAGGCTTTCTAGTGTCACAAGTGTTAATGACACCTGCTTTCACCTTGAGTCTCCTCAGGTAGAACAATAAGTCATTTCAAAAAACTTTATGAACGTACATCTAGGTAAAAAATTCCACTATACCATATTTAGCACGTATTTTATGTGGTGAAAATTGTCAGGAACGAACTAACTAACCTTCTTTGGGATAGTAAATAAACCATTTTCTCCATCCTTATTCGACCAAGCTTTATTGTTGTTGTTCTTTTATTTATAATCCTCTCAATATTTTCGGTTTATTTTCTCATAAGTGTGAATACCATTTAGGCTGTATAATAACTGTTGCTTTTGTCTTTTCCCTCATCATGCTATATCAGTAGAATGTTGGATTCAATGATCTATAAAATTCCGAAGTTTCCAAAGTGAATCGACAATAATGTTTGAAACAGACCCACTGTCATTATTCTCATTTTGTACTTCGAATATGCCACTTTGTCCTGATTGGCGTGTTCCCCTAGCTTCAACATTAAAGCGATATTCTTTACAGATCTCATCGCACAGTGTATCAGCTTTAAATGTATAACACATGCAAGCATAATGCTTATGAGCTAGGTGTGCAAATCAAAGTGAACTCTTGTACGGTACATTCATTATTTATAAGACTAAGTAGTATGTAACAACTACGATTTGACCAGCGACACAACGTTAAACATATTTAAACCCAGTCAACGTACGCCGGTTAGTTCTATGACGCATTAACTAAAGCTGTGTAATATCCACGAAATTATTAAAAGGTATTTATCCTATCACCTCAAATGACTCACTGTTTTAAGCCGCTTAAAAAGTAAAAATAAATTTGCCGAAGACAGTGTGCTTATAATTTCTAGATTTTGTAATGCACCATGAAGAAAAAGCTACATCCATAGGGTCATAGCAGTTGGACGAGTGATAATAATCCGAGGCACGGCGACTGAGTTTCTCACTCACAGAACATACTATTTGGCTATATATTCATCTAGTCGTCTTAACAAACGTTTCGCCGATTAAGATTAGAAAAGGGAGACCATTGGTTTAAGAAAAATTTATTTGAAGTTTTCTTATAAATCATATACATCCAGTTAATATAGGCACTTGCAAACTGCAAACGTCCAAAAAGTAAGAGTTTGATCATTTGAACTGAAATAAGCAATTTGTATTCAGCCAATGTTTTCACCGTAAATAATAGCCAGCTTCTCAGCTTTCTGTAACTTTGATAAAACCATCGATTGCAGACCACAATCCGAATCGTTGTTGTTGCTAATTAAATTCTTCCCTTCATTTAGGATAATTCGTACACTCACCAGGTCATTATATGCTATCCACTTTCAAATCGTTTTGAAACAAATTGAATGACTGGAAACATCGGCTTTCCTACATACAGTTCTAGTTCATGTATTTGGATCTAGTATATTAGGCATTAATAATAATAATATATATTTCGTATAAACGGGTAAGTTTGCATGAAATGCATGCCATTTTTACAGGCACGATCAATTATGTTACGAATTACAATTGTTAGTTAGCATACATTATCACTTTTTCAAAAAGTTCATATTGTTGAGTTATGGTACAAGCAATCGGAACAGATTCTTATAAATGTTAATTTGTAAATATTTCACAAAGGTCACCATCGAAGTTGAACGACAACCCGAAATTTGTTCCATTTCCTGATGATAGTTATGGCCAATCGATAAACAACATATATTTGAGTGAGTGCCATTCCTTCAAATGCTTGAACGCTATTTTAGGAACTGAAGAAAATCTGGCGCAGCTGCAAAATGGTATAGAATGCAATTATGAACAATCATAGGTAACACATACCTTTCAGAGGTTTTGTAGTGGACCCAGTAGCTAGGTAAGTATATAAACGCAATTAAAAGGACAGAACAAGTACTAACAAATACGTGTATATAAAATATTCAGTTCACTTAAGTTAATATACACAAAAATAGGACTGAGGTTATTTGAAGAAAACTATAACAGTCACAAAATACACAAATTATAGACGTACGAAATTATAGGAATGTAATTGTCCTTCTCTTGATTATACAAATTCTCCACTACAACTTAGCGCTGTCAACCGTTGGAAGGATCCACGTAGAGTAAGGCAGATAGGAGCAAAGTTCTTGACGGGGATGTGTCAACCAGTGCGAGGCAGCGTTGGTCAGCAGATGTGCTGGGCGAGCAGCCGGAGAGATGGCGAACGATTCGTTCCTTCCGCGCGGTTCAAGGTTTTTAGGTTGAATTCCTTCTTTTTTTCGTGAACATATAATTTGATATGTTTTTAGGCCGCCACACGGCTCCCCCTCTTAGAAGTCCGGAGGAACTGCTACCGACGATTTGCAGTAGAATTGTGAGAAGAAAAATAATTATAATGCTACAGAACACTATGAGAATACGAAAAAAAAATGGAAAAGATTTTTTTTTACGCTTTAGTGAATAGTTCAACATCAACTTCTGAACTGGAAGTGGGTGGGAGTACAATGGATACATATTACGGAGAGTGAACACGCACACAAAACAAAACAAACAAAAAAAAATATTCTCTTAATAAACACAGGTGAGTATATGTCAGCTCTGTTTATATGACACATGAAAGAAAAAAAAAAATTGCGAAAGAGATCAATGTTAATTGGAACGATGGCATCAAACTGAATGGCACTAATAATAATAATAATAAGGATAATGTCCGTTAAAACGCTAACCAATATAGTAGTAATTATGGGAGAACAATTGTGAATACATATATACACATATACAGTACTGAGGTAGTAAAAAAAAATAGCAATGCTTCGGCACAAAAAATGATGTCGTATCTGACACAAATAAACTACGTAAGTCAATAATTAACAACAATGATCAATGATGTATACGTAAAAAAAAAAAATTGTTACAACCTTAAAGATATTAATCAGTAAAGTGTACAAAACGGGCAGGTTTATTAACCTGTCTGCCACTACGAGTAATGCAAGGGGGAGGTAGCATTATTGGCACCTCTGGAGCTTTGGCGGTTTCTTGTTTGTCTGCTGAAGTCGCTGTTGGGATGTCGTCGCCATCTGTGTAAGCAGGTTTGAGTCTATCCACGGAGACCGTCATCTTTTTACCTTCTTTGCTCACTGTGAAATATTTTTCCGCGCGATGCACTACTGGGTATGGGCCTTCATATGGAGGTTGTAGCCCTTTCCTGACGTTGTCGATCCGTATAAAGACAAATTTACAGGTTTGTAGATGGCTACTTAGGTTTTCTCTGCGGGGACATTGTCTCGGAGCTATTGGTTGAAGTTGTGACATTCGTCTGGTCAGTTGATCAGAAAACTCGGAAATATTCACATTTTGAGAGTCATGAGAGGATACTAGCTGTCCTGGCAGTGTTAAGGTAGTGCCGTAAACTAGTTGTGCGGGTGTACAACCAAGGTCCTCTTTAACAGTTGATCGTATGCTAAGTAGAATCAGAGGTAAGTATTCACTCCATTTAGATGCATCACTCTGTGCCATCAGGGAGCTTTTCAGTTGTCTGTGAAATCTTTCCACAAGACCATTCGCTGCCGGATGGTAGGCTGTTGTGGAGATATGTTTAACTCCCAGGAGTCTCGTCAGTTCACGAAACAGCGTCGATTGGAATTGAGCACCTCGATCGGATGTAATCGTAGTTGGTACACCGTAATTTGACACCCAGCGGTCGAGGAAAACCAAAGCAACATTTTCGGCCGATATATCGTTCAGGGGGCATGCAATAGCCCAACGAGTAAATCTATCAATGGCTGTCAGGATATGTGTATATCCTCTTGACGTTGGCAATGGTCCTACGATATCTATATGAACGTGCTGAAATCTCCTGTCCGGTAAATCGAACGTTTTTGGCGTTGTGATAGTGTGGCGATGTACTTTGGAGCGTTGGCATTGGAGACATTCTCGTGCCCATCTCCGAATGTCAGAGTTCATTTTAGGCCACACGAAACGTTCGCTGATGAGTCTGACGGTGGCACGTACTCCAGGGTGAGAGAGCGAATGTAAGTGGTCAAATAAAGCTCTTCGGCATTGGAGAGGAACAAACGGACGATTAGTGCCGGTAGAGACATCACAAACTATAGTGGCATCTGATAAGAGAATAGGTACGTCCCTGAGCTGTAAGGAAGAGTTTTCGCGACACTTTCGAAGTTCTGAGTCGTTTCTTTGTAACTGAGCCATCCGGTCAAGACTGACGTCTACGGAAGTTTCAAGCTGGTGTATATCACCTCTTGAAAGAGAATCAGCTACCACGTTTGCGTCCCCTTTGATGTATTGTATGTCAGTTGAAAATTGGGAGATATAGTCTAACTGTCTGGCTTCTCTTGGGGAGTGTTTATCCAGCGAAGTGGTGAAAGCATAGCACAGAGGTTTGTGGTCAGTAAAAATAGTGAAATGACGACCCTGTAGTAAGTAACTGAAGTGTTTGACTGCTAGGTATATAGCCAACAATTCTCTCCCAAAAGTACTGTAACGTGTCTGAGCCGGTTCTAACCTCTTCGAAAAGAAAGCAAGTGGAGTAACGTCACCATTAATTTTCTGCTGTAACACCGCGCCCACAGCTACTTGGGAGGCATCTGTACACAAGATAAGAGATGCGTCGGGGTTGATGTGAGACAACATAGCGACTTTAGATAAAGCGTCTTTCGCGTTGCAGAAAGATTCGTGTGCTTGCTCTGACCATTGAAATTTTTTAGGATCACTTTTAAGGAGATCGGTTAAAGGCTGGACGATAGAGGCACACGAAGGAATAAAACGTCGATAGAAATTAAACATCCCCAAAAATTGTCGGACTTTCTTCAAAGAGTCTGGTTGGGGGAAGTTTTTGATTGTATCTATCTTTTCCTCAGTAGGCCTGATTCCCTCGGCAGTTATGTAGTGTCCCAGAAATTGAATAGAAGAGGCACCGAAAATGCACTTCTTAGGATTTATCGCGACACCATACTGTTCGAAACGCTGAAACAAAGTGCTAAGATGATTCTTATGTTCCTCTTCCGACTTGCTAGCAATTAGTACGTCGTCGATATAAACGAATACAAAGTCAAGGCCCCGCGTGACTTGATCCATGAAGCGCTGAAAAGTTTGTGCAGCGTTTTTCAGCCCGAAAGGCATTCGTAGGAATTCAAACAAGCCAAAAGGTGTTATAATGGCTGTCTTCTCGATGTCCTCTGGAGCAACTGGTATCTGGTGATAAGCTCTGACTAAATCCACTTTGGAGAAAATAGTTTTACCTTGCAGTGTTAGAGAGAAATCATGCAAGTGGGGAATGGGATAACGATCTGGAACAGTGGCGTTATTCAAACGTCGGTAATCCCCACACGGTCGCCAATCATGCTCAGCTTTTGGTACCATATGTAATGGTGAGGACCAGGGACTGTTGGATGGCCGGATGATGCCCAATTGCATCATGTGTTCGAATTCAGCTTTGGCTGCTGCTAACTTGTCAGGTGGTAGTCGACGAGGACGTGCTCTGACGGGTTGACCAGTTGTGACAATTTTATGCGTGACAGAATGAGGAACATCTTCGATATTATAAGATGGCTTTAAAATTTTTGGGAAACGATGCAGTAATGCAGAGAACATGCAGTCATCTGGCTTCTCGATGCATATGTTATAAACAGAGTAGTTTGAGATGATTCCGTGGACTTGAAGCTGGGTGCAGTTATCAATCAGCTTTTTCTTGTTGACATCAACCAGCAGATTGAAATTGCTTAAAAAATCGGCACCCAATATGGCATGACTAACGTCAGCTACTATGAATATCCATGTAAATCGACGACGTAAACCAAGATCCAAAATAAGTGATTGTTCGCCGTAAGTCCGTATGCTAGTTTGGTTAGCTGCTCGAAGTGAGAGTTTTGCAGCTGTGCTAGAAGATCGCCTGGAGAGTGAAGGAGGTATTACACTAACTTCGGCTCCTGTGTCTACCAGGAATAATGTGCCTGTGGTTTTGTCCTTCACGTAGAAAAGGCGACTTGAATGGTTGCCAGTAACAGCTGTCGCCATCACTGTCTGGTTGAGACGTTTCCCCTGAGCCTGGTTCTCTTCACTAAAGATGCACGGTCTGACACATTTCAGAGCATGACGTCCAAACTTCCTATGATACCAACATATATTACTGTCCCTAGAAGACATTCGGGACCGCTGCCGGAAGAGAGATCTTCTATGTGACTGTGACCGTGCTTGTGAACTCCGCCTCTCGACTCGTCGATCAGATCTATGTGTTTCCAACTTGTCAAGCCTTGCCGCTAAGTCTGCAATGGCGGTGAGTATTGGTGACGACATTATAAGTGTGAGAATATTGATACAAAGGGGAATACAAATATGAGACCACCAACAAAAACTTGCAATGAAAGTACAAAATAGCAAAAATAAGTATATAGATACGGGAAAACAATCCGTGTTCCAAAACGGGCTCACCAATTAAGTGTAGCGGACCTAGTAGCTAGGTAAGTATATAAACGCAATTAAAAGGACAGAACAAGTACTAACAAATACGTGTATATAAAATATTCAGTTCACTTAAGTTAATATACACAAAAATAGGACTGAGGTTATTTGAAGAAAACTATAACAGTCACAAAATACACAAATTATAGACGTACGAAATTATAGGAATGTAATTGTCCTTCTCTTGATTATACAAATTCTCCACTACAACTTAGCGCTGTCAACCGTTGGAAGGATCCACGTAGAGTAAGGCAGATAGGAGCAAAGTTCTTGACGGGGATGTGTCAACCAGTGCGAGGCAGCGTTGGTCAGCAGATGTGCTGGGCGAGCAGCCGGAGAGATGGAAAAGCGATATAGGCAGATTTTGATTGGCTGTTGGCTAGCTGGCTTCTTATTGGTCTAAAATAGAAGTTAAAATGGCAGTCTGTTTATTTTGACACGGAAAGTTACAGTCAGTTTAAAGTCAGTCTTAACTTACCATAATATAATGGCGTGTTAATTTTTTTGGTGTGAGTGTAGTGTGATAGTCACATGCTATTTGGATGCATTGGTGGTGTTGAAAGTACACTGAGATGTATGAGAATGTCTAGTAAGTGAATATAAGTTAACAATAATTTTGATGCATTTATTTAAAGTCCAAAATAGGATGTATGCATTTTTTGTTACTATGGGAATAGAATTCAACAAAAATTGCTAAACGTATAATGTGTCTTTAATTTTGGACATGTAGATATATGTATGTATTAAGTGATCTACTTTTTTAAGTTTTCAGTTTAGTGACCTGTGGGAATTGCACATACTAGGTCAACATAAATCAATTAAATTTACTAGGTCACAAAAGTGGTATATAAGCAATGAAATGCATACAACTGTTCATTTACTTGAAATCATTTTGTTGTGCACGTTAGGAATTGTTAGAACCATTAAATGATGTTGCAAATTACTCCTACTGCGTCTACTACACGAAATGTGTCATCTATATTGTCTGATGTAATGGCTATATTCCAAAGAATAATGCTTAGTTGTGTATTTTATACGTGGGTGCAACTTAAGCAAGCTTTTGATACATTTATGAAGGTAACAACTAAATTGTTCATTATTTCTTTGAAAGGAATCCAACACATCCTAACGGCTTGATTCAGGTAAAAAAGACCCATCTGGCCCTATGGAATATAAGTTTGTGAGCTTTGAATGCACTTTTGGAGGTATAGTATAGTAAGCTTGGGACGCTTAAAATACCAACCTTGCAACAATTCTCAGCAAAGTCTAACCAATGCGTCAATAATACCTTTTTACGGTAAATGAATATTTTATCTACTTCAAGTGAACCCAGCATGTACTGATAAGCAAAACCAGTAGTTTCTCATCTACTCCTGAAACTGTCTACAAAAAGAACATGGTGTTGAATTAGTGTCAGTTATGCTGAAAACCAAACCTGAGTTCTAGACTGTGAAATTAAAGGGTCTATTTAAGAAAAGATCCAGAATTTACTGACTGTAGAACGTTGGAATTAGTGAGATTTAATTCAGCATTATGGTAAGGGAGGAGCAGAACCTGGACTAGAAGGGCTGCAATAAGACTGATAAGCTACTTCTGATAATGCGTAGAATAAGAACAAGGTGCTGAATTGGTGCCAGTCATGATGATAAACCAGCGCACAGTTCCACCTTAAGCAAATAATCCGTAACTGTTCTGCCACTGTTTGATCCAACAATGGCAGAACAGTTAAGGCGTTTAATTACTGAGAAAAGTTACTGTATTAGCATAGTATGCGTGAATTGGCTCAATGATTGCAGATTTACCATAATCCTTAACTACCAACATAAAAACTGGGAACTGCAAGCTAAAAATAAACGTCTTAGTAGCATCCAGTGACAAAAAACTGACCTACATACTCCAAAACAAGCAAAACGTTCGAAAAAACCTTTAAAATTCAATGGAAAACGAATTCACGAAAACATATAACCAGCAGACGCAGGAACCCATCATGACCTTGAAACTGACTATAGCGTCTTTCGGAGAGATGGCGAACGATTCGTTCCTTCCGCGCGGTTCAAGGTTTTTAGGTTGAATTCCTTCTTTTTTTCGTGAACATATAATTTGATATGTTTTTAGGCCGCCACAGTTTCTGATTACCCTTCGATTTATTTTTGTTATCAAAATTACATACTAACACCACATATTAATACTTCAAATATGACTCGTCCCCGTTCATTTTACTTTCTCTCACAATATATCGGGTGTTTGTTAACTGATAATAAACACACTGATGCCATACTCATCTTCTCGAAAAGCTTCAAAGCCTTCTAAGTTCTGCAGGTTTAATATGCTCCTCGAAAACCTTGCTATTATCAACTCTGATCGTGCTTTTTCACCTGATTTACTCGTAAATTGTTGCTCGCTATAAATATGAATGTGTAACACACTGTTTTTCCATATTTCTACATATTAAGTGACCAATTGAGCCAGCAACAATAACGGTAACCAAGACATGGACTGGAAACAGCAGTTTCTGCCACC